TCAATCCACTGAGCTACGCCAGCCAGGGCTTGAACATTTAGATTATTTATAATTTTGGCTATTATGAATAATGCTGATAATAAACACACACGTCTTTGTGTGAACATATGTTTTCATTTTTGCTCTTGAGTAAACTCCTAGAACTGAGTGGGTGTATGTTTAATTGTTAAAGAAAACTGCCAAACTCTTGTCCAAAATGGCTGTACCATTTATATTCCAAGCATCACTGTATGGCACCTTTAAAAGTGACAAATATCATGAGAGATACAGCAACTCTTATGTCCCAAAGAAGGTACACATTCCAAAGTCAGAGGACAGAGGCAAAAAGCATTTCATGAAGAAAAAATGATTTACACTAATAGAGGTAGTAATGTACCCCAGTATAGCCATTGTAGCCCATGAGAGACTTGTAGGGGCTCTATCTTAAATTCCACCAGGGAAACATCTCTCTAAACATAACCAATGTAAGGAAAAACTCATGTTTTGAAAGTCTAACATGTAAAGAAAAGGAAATCTTAAAAAAGGCAGCAATAAAACTGATGTAATCCATTACAATAGCAGCTCGCCTGAGATTTACTAGTCAATCACGATGCTAAGTCTTGTAAGATTTATACAGGCACACTTGTTTTGTTGCACTTTGCTTCATTCTGCTTCACACAGGTTGTGTTTTTTACAAATTGAAGCCAAGACCAGCAAAAAGGTTATGTCTCACTTTACTGCAGTATGCCTATATATAGCCACTTGAGTGATAGTTACCTCCATTTTGCAGATGAGGAAACTAGAAACACTGGAGTTAAGAATGTGGCCCCAAAGTCATAATTTGCAGGAAGTGGAACCAGACTTGCCTGACCCTAGACGATGCTTTTCTTGGCTTTACTAATTCACTGCTCTCTCTGCAGTTTTCACATGCCTTCCAGCCTGCTTGGAAGAGACCTCCTGGAAGCTGAGTGATACTACCTCTTAAGCCACACTGTTTCTAGTACTGTAGACATTAGGCAACTTTCTGATATTAACTGTTTCCCAAGCCCACTCTCTATTTGGAAAAGGAGGAGTTAACCAGTCAAAAGGAATCAAGTAAATATACTCAGCAGTGATTATCTCTTAGAGCACAGGTGTCAAACTCATTGTCACCGGGGGCCACATCGGCCTTGCGGTTGCCTTTAAAGGGCTGAAATAATTTTAGGACTGCATAAATGTAACTACTCCTTAACTGTTCAGGAGTTGAAATTACATTCGGCTCTTTGAAAACAACCATGAAGCTGATGTGGCCCCCGATGAAAATAAGTTTGACACCCTTGTCTTAGAGAGTAAATTATAAGACCAGACATTCTAGTTTTGACATTACTGACCATAAATTTGGATCACTTGACTCATCAACAGCCTTTTCTGAGGACCATCATAACAGAGGTAAAAATCACCAAGTCAGGCATCAATTCTGTATAAGCCCACAAGTGCTAAACTCAACTCTATACCTAGAATGTAACCAAAACCACAAAAAATAGGTGTATTACCAGGTTAAAAGGAAGAGGCAATATTGTTTCAGAACTTTTTTTTAAAGATTTTTTTAAAAGATTTTATTTCTTTATTTTTAGAGAGGGAAAGGAGGGAGAAAGAGAGAGAGAGAGAAACATCAACGTGCAGTTGCTGGGGGCCATGGCCTGCAATCCAGGCATGTGCCCTGACTGGGAATCGAACCTGCGTTGTTTTGGTTCGCAGCCTGCACTCAATCCACTGAGCTACGCCAGCCAGGGCCAGAACTAACTTTATGTAAGAAATACCAAACAAGTGGCAGGTCTTACTGGGGAATTTCTTCTCCCATCTGCCCTTCTATATTCTACAATACTTGAAGACCTAATATTTTCAGGAAAAGCCAGAATTTATATAACTCTCAGTTTCCTCCCCAAAGGTCATCCTGTTAATTCTTACTAGATTCATGACCTTAAATAGGATATATCAGTAGATTCTTTAGCTTTATACAAATCTTGCCAATCCTTCCACACCCTAAATGTCTACAGATCTGTTTTCTATAGTTGTATCCTATCTTCTTCTCCCAAGTTCCACTTTCTGTCTCCTAGATGACATTGGCAGTGGTGATTCTCAGAGGAAAGTATAACTGAAAGGTATGCACTAGGAACATCAGGAAAAAAAGGGGGAATTGGTCCACTCAAAACATTGAAAGTAGCACCAAGAAGTGAGAATGCTCACCATGTTACCTGTCTTTACCATCAAGTCAGGAGAGCTGAGAATATGATGTCTTCAGATGAGATTTGGGTTTTGGCGAGATCATGGAAAAGATCATGGAAGGATAGGTTTTTTGAAAACACAGTGAATGGTAGTGTATACATAGAGTTAGGAAGCATAGATTTTGCATAGCAAAAAAGTGTAAGAAAGAAGGAACTACAAAAAAAATAAGAACAAAGAAAGAAGGAACTACAACTGACTCACATTTCTTGTTTTAAATTTAACTATTGACTCAATTTTTTTAGCCAGTCTCTTCCTGTCTAAAAATACAGTTTGACTTCAACCCAGTATCTTCCAATAATCACAAATTCTGAATTAATAATGTTTCAATGACTTGTGGCTTGATATTTCCATTATTCCTATAGGAAAGATGAGGGAAAGGAAGGACAGACCAGTCACAGGACAATAATGGTTGGGCTGACAAGTGGTAGGCATAGGAGGAAAAACAAAAAACACATAGGTGCGTTTGTGTGTGTATTACATATGTAAGTCACCAGATGGGCTGGGCCCAACTATACAAAAACTTATAAAAAGCTTTATCTCAGCAAATACGTCAAAGCCTGTAGGTCTTACAAATACCTTCTAAGGGAGGATATTTTATTTATTCTGATTAATTTCAAGTTACAGTCAACCTTGAAAGAGAACTGATATAAGTAATATAAATGTCAAACTCTGTTTTTATGGTTAACTTTGAGGAGACTACATGACAGCACCCAGAGTCCTTTGAAGACTGATACACTGATATTTACCATAAGTTGCAAATATGCATAACTCTTGAGCATTTGATGTAGATATTGGCAAAAATGACCTTTTTGGTATTTTAAAATATATTACAGATTCAGAGTCTTCGGTTTGAATGCAATCATTAAGATGACCTAATCCAGTCCCCTTCTCTTACAGATGAGAAACCTTAGAGGCTAAAAGGGACATTTTAAGTAACATGCACAAAGTGGAATGAACATAAACAAAATCTCTTATTAAGAAGCAGAAAATTAAAGAGAATCAAACCTTTTAAAAAGAAATATGTCTTCTAGCTTCACTTTTTTACACAGAAAGTCACAAGTTATATCTCTCCTTCTTGCAAAAGAGGACTCACATCATGTCAAATTAGATCTTTTCTCAAATACACACTCATTCTTCAGGCAAACACACTACCATGCTGTTCGTGCCTTCAACCTAGCTGAAGTGTTTTCACAAACATTCACAAAATCACTGAAGCTCAGTAAGATAAGCATGCCTATTAATCTTCACCCCAATGTAACTACTTCTAGGAAAAAAATTTAGATAGCATAATCTAAATGTAAAGTGACCTTTCTATTAGAAATTAGAATATAGAGGTGAATAGTCTGGGATTTTTACTGTTCCCAAGACTCTCCAAAACAGGGGATACTAGCTATTTAGAACAAAATGTGCATTCCATGAGGCAGATACTGCATCTTCAAGCACTGCCAAGGTTCTCTGCAGTGCTCATTGGAGGCAGGCTATGTATCAGAACCAAAAGAAATATGAAATACATAATTTAGAGATAATCTAAAATCTGCCCTAAGGAACTCTACTGGCATTTTAACATCCCTACTCAAGCAAGAGGGAAAAGGGTAATATCGTATATTCCTACATTTACCCAGTATGTAACCTCCATGTATATCAAGAGCTAGCTTGTATATCGGAGAGGATAGAGTGGACAACCTAATTATCACTTGTTTGGTAGGGGAGAAAACTTAAGGCAATGGCTTATGTAGGTCCTTCTGACAACTGACAATTTTAGCTGAGATGACATCAGCAGTGGTGATTCTCAGAGGAAAGAATAACTGGAAACTATGCACTAGGAACACCGAAGAATGGGAAATTGGCCCATTCAAACTAAGGAAATAACTGAGAAGTGAGAATGCTCACATGCTACCTGTCTTTCCCATCAAATCAGGAGAGTTGAGAATATGTCTTCCACAAAGTATTTGGTCCATAGACACTTGGAAGGAGAACTGATGCCAGCCAGATATTTCTTCCAGTATTAATTAATACAATGACTTTCTTGTTAGTAAGGTTTTGACGCTCCAGACTCAATCCAACAATTATTACTAACAGAAATATTTCTAACCTGCAAAGCTCTTGACACCTCCACTAATGGGAGACCCCTGATGTAAACTCCACTAATGGGAGACCCTTTATGTCCAGTTTGATGCACCTATTGGCTATCTACCAAAATGAGAAAATTCTGAGTTATATATAAATAAGTTGAGTTATTCATTCACATTCTCTAACCTACTCCCTCTCTCTCTCCACCTCCCTCCTTTCTTTCTCTTCTCTTTCCTTACTCCATCCCAATGGTATGTAGCAGGGGTTGGAGAAGTTATCCATAAAGGACCAGATAGTAAAGAGTCTAGGCTTCTTGGGCGCTGCCATTGTAACACAAAAGTACATACAGACAATCCATGACTGAATGGACATGGCTGTGTTCCAATAAAGCTCTTTACAAAAACAGTCAGTGGGCCAGATTTGTCTCACAGGGCTATAGTTTGTCAGCCCCTGGTATACAGTAGCCATTCTCAAACTTTCGCCACCATCAGAATCTCCTACAGTTGCTCCCAAATGATGCTTATGCTGCTGGTCCAGGCACCACACTTGGACAACCACTGGTATAAAATAACGGTCTATATTGCATTCATTGAAAGGTTGAAATATAATAAACAATTTAAAAAGTGGAAATAACATGCTGTAAACTTGACTGCTAATTTTATAGAATATTTCACATGAAGACTTACTGTTAAGTGCCATAATATTATCTGTTCCTGGATGGTGGAAATTTATTCCCATACGTCCTAAAAAATAAAATAATTTTATTTTAAGCACAAAGAAAATAATGCTTAATATAATTGTTTCAAATACATTATAAAACATGAAGATTACAAAAAGCTAAAACAAATTAATCCATAACAAACAATGTTATCCAAGGCCATAGCAATTACAACAGTTTTAAAATCAAGTCATAAAATATACAAATGAAAAATCTTAAAACAAAGCCAAAGTCTCAACAAATAAACAGAACAAAACAAAGCAAAAAAGAAGCTTCCATTATAATTGCCTGAAATTTTAATGCCAACTCCCGCATTCATTTTAAACATGCCAACTCCCCGATTAAGCATTTCATTTAATGCACCATTCATAGTGCCCTTCAAATTCAAGCAGCAGAATAATGAATTCAAGAAATATATAAACTTAAAGCTTAGAAGGAATAAAAAGATAAAGGTCTCAGAGTGACTCAAAAATGCAACCATTATAAGAATGGCAACTGGAAGATGATAAAATTTATATAATGGGCTAGGGAACAATGACTGGCCTCAAAATCTAGGGTTCTTATTGTTGCCCCTATCCCTATCACTAACATAAACTCACACAGGTAGTATATGACCTTACAGTAGTAATAGGGGTTGCAAACTTCTGCCCACACTGACTCACTACCTGTGCTTGTACACCTCCTCTAAGAATGATTTTTACCTTTTTAAAGGGTTGTAAACACAAAGATTAAAAAACAAATATAATATGTGATAGAGGCCATGTGGCCCACAGGCCGAAAATATGTATTCTCTGGCCCTTTACAAAGTTTGTCAATCTCTGGCCTATGAGATGACAAGAATAAATCAGCTGTTTCAACTAATACCTTCCAGGGTTAAGAGTAGAAGATGTAGACATTTGGTTTGCTTTTTCATTAACTATTTAGATAAAGGAGGTGGATATATGAATAGAAAAATGAAACAGAGAGAGTTTTTTATGGGAAGAATGTACTTGTATGTTTTCTTGACCAATTCCTGCAATGATATCATTATTCAAGAAATGCTTTTACATAAAGCTAGTATCTACAAACTTGGCTCTGGAAGGTTTTCATGTCCAATTATGTCAAGAGTTACCATGAAAGTCTCAGGGAAATGTTAATTTTAGGTCACTACCATTGTTTAAATAACTGTTAGTAGTATTGGGGGTGGGAAGAATAATGCAGAGAAAGCTGGAGATCAGAAAGAAACAAATACAGCGTTACATGTAATGATGGTAAAAGGTCAGTCATCACTTGGTTTGCTAAAAAGCAGAAAACATTTTGCTTTTCCTGGTATCCTCTCTAATTCTGTTGGCCTCTTTGACCCAAAAGATCTCTGGATCAATATCATCAATAAAAGATACTACAAGAAACTCTGGGTCAATGCCACACCCACCAGAACTGATTATTTAGGTATAATCTAATTTTCCCCAACTAAATGCAGTCTATTTAGTAAAAGCACTTATATCTTCTTTAAGCTACTTTCTTTACCTCTTCAAAAATTAATGTTCAGATTATAAAGTACAATACATTTCATTGGAGAAAAATTAGACAATTCAGAAAAATGAAGAAAACAAGATCACCAAAGACAGGCTCTGTTAACATTTTGGTTTACGGTCTTCCAGTTTAGGGAGTGTATATATGTAAAGGTTTCTTTTCTAAAACTGGAAATTATTTTATAATTTTATTTTTTGTTTAATATATTATATACCTTAAGTCTTACAGGGATTTTGGAGGAGAGAAAATATGTATAACAGCAAAAGAAAAGCTGATTCCAAATTCAAATGAGGCCATTTTTCCCCTTTCTTTTGTCCAACAAACACTGCTGTTTAATCAGCTGTGAAAACAGAATCAAGTGTGTGACATCTGGTGATTTTTGTTAATGCAGTCTGGTGCTGCCAGCATGACATTTTGTCACCTGTCTGTGGTTTGCTATTTTTAAATTGTTCTTGTCAGCTAGCTATCTTTTAAGTATAGTGTAAAATATAAGGTTTCGAAGACGGAGGAAGGTATGCTTGGTTTTACTGAGCTAAATGATGCTGTGGAAATCTGAGACTGTGCCCCACTTTCCCCACTGCACAGGGTCTGATAAATGGGGGTGAGAGAGGGTAGAGGGAGAGTTCGGAGAATAGGGTTCCATATGGTTACTCAGACTGTAAAAATCAGTTTTATAAGCTCAATTCACATTCATATTTAAGAGGCCAGTTATAAAAAACTACCTGTACTGTTATTCAAAGTTTCAGAGTCAAACTAAACCCACATTTCTATAAGTCCAAAATCAAAATTAGAATTTTTATTAATTCATAATTAGGAGAGTCACCTCTTCACTTCTGCAACATGTTATGTGATAGGGAAAAACTGCTGTATCTTCCTCTAATCATTCCCATTTACTCTAAAAAGTTGAGTCCTTCAAGAGACCTTCCCAGAAGAGAAACTGGGTGCCATGTTCTAAAAAAGGTTATAAGACAAAATGGATATTCTAGTAGATTCTGTTTCACACTACTTTACTCTATAAAGTTGAAGAGACAGTCCTTCAAAAACAAAGTAGCCATAAGAAGTAATATATGTAAAAATACAATAAAATGTTTTAAATCCCTTTCAAGGAAAAATGATAAAAGTTTGATACTATAATATTCTAAATACATCCCAAAGAACCAAGAAGCAAAAGCTGTGAGCTTAGACCTGAGGTCAAATCCTAGTTCCTTTGCATACCAGTAGTGGATAATTTTTAGCATGTTATCAATTCCTTTGTGCCTACTATGTTTCCTCATTTCAGGCTATACTCTGGAACAATTAAATCAGAAATTCTGGAGGTAGTATACATGATTAAAGTACCCATAGTCTTTTTCTTTGCAGGGGAACTCTCATGCAGGGGAAAAAAACTCTCATGCAGGGGGAAAAAACCCCTCAGGTGACTACACTGCTATATTGAAAGGATCACTGGGCAAATTAATGGGTGGTACCTATATGAAAAAAATCACTCGACTTCTATCTACTGTCCTCCCTCTTGTGTATCAACAGAACAAGAACAATCCCTTTTTGCTAACTCAGAACATGTGCCCTAAAAGTCTAATCTGCTAACTTGCATACAACACAAACTGATAAGAGCTGAAGGAAGATAGCACAAACATAGAACTAGAGTAACAATTAAAGTAGGTGAAGAGACAGTTTACTTTTCTGAACAAACTAAATATAACTAAGCTGCACTTTTTCTAAAACAAGAGAATCTCAACATTCCACCAAAAGGGCCAATTTTGTGAAAGGCTATATATACCACTAAATTTAAATTGTAGTGAATAAATAAAAATGCCTCTGTATCAAAGGAGTGGTACCTATTCCTTCCAAATTTCTGTCAATCTAAATGTTTTAAAGCACTATCATCAGAAGATAGCTATTTTTGCCCACATTTGAAAAGCAAACCCTTCAGGGTCAGTTTTCAACTGACACCTGCTCGTTTCATTTTTCAAATTTCAGTTCCATGAATGGTGAAGGGAGAGAAAATTCTAATATATAAAAATGTTTCCACAAGCACTACCCCCAAGTGGTCAGCCAGGCCTACTCTTCTGTTGTAAAAGGGAGACTACATGGATGAGAGAAAGGGTGACTTTTTCTGTTAGTTGTTTCCCCCCCCACCCCAAGATGTCTGCTGTGTTGTGCTATACCAGCCAGGGGACAGGTCCTTGCTTCTCAATGTCACCTACACTGCCCAGTACACGGTGGCTGATATTTCCCTGTTCTTCTTTACTTCTCCCAGTGCTTTGTCTTCTTTCAACATTAATCCTAAGAGAAGGCATGATTAATCTAACCTAATGACCCCAGGTTTTCAGAGGGGTTCCCCAGTGGCAGGAGGAACTCCCATCCTTAGCAGCAAGTCAGCAGACCACTATAAGGAGGATATAAGGATGAACCTTCTTCCCTATCGCTTATTTCCAACGCCAGAACTCCCCTTAATCCTCATAGTTATGAGGAGTTGAATATCCCTTCAGTCCACTAGAAAAGAGGGCAGAGAACAATTCCTCCCACCCAGGCCCCACTCTTGTACCAACCCAAGGATTTTTGTACTTAGAAAAGAAATAAGAAACAGTTTTAATCAGTTCAACACCCATCTCAAAACTCTCCTCTTCTCCTGAAGGCATTATTTCTAATAAACAGGAAAAGTCATACATAACATGTAAGAGACAACAGGTAATTATTAAATTGTGATTCTGCTATAACCAAAAACTATAATTTGAGAACTTTAAGAAGCCAAACATTACTCTAATTTTTATTTCTATAAGGGTTCTGTAATCTGATCAACACTGCAGAAAACATTCCTCAGGGTGCTATGAAGAAAGCCCAATTCGACTTTTTTTCTACATTACTTGACATTTTTATCATAGGGCAAAAGTAGGGGGCCTTTTAAAATTTTTCTACAAACATCTTCAATGATGACTTAGTATTACGTACATGTAACTGGAAAACTGTTAAAACTCTATACTAAAACAGAAATCTTATTACTTCCTCAAGTTCCTACTTTGTCATTTCTCCCACTAACCCTTTCTTTCCCTCTGAATCAAGAGAACAGCTGAACAAAGGATTTCTCATTAAAGACATTTCTAAAATTAAATATCACTGTGAACATAATTTCACTACGTTCACTTTAAGTACATCATGAGGTTCTTTATTTTTCATGAATGTGATATCCTATTTTAGTATACCTTCTTTACATTGTTCAGATATGCAATTTTGGAAAGCCAACATAGCTTAGAAGGATTATTTTCCTTTCACTCCTTTAGGTGGTTTTGATAAAGATAATCATTATTTATCTATGGCAAATACAAAATTTTGACAACTTGTATTTGAAAGCTGCAGTCTAGCTAGAAGGAAATGTTGTAGGAATACAAAGGTTTAATTTATTACCCAGGCCAGGCAGTAGGGATACCACTACATTTGAGCAGTGTCTAGTGTCAGGAACTTTATCTGACTCTATGAAGTAGGTGTTTTATTTTAATGATGAGGACACAACTTTGAAGAGGCTAAGTTATCTAGATCAACAGCTAACTAGAGGCACAGCCAGAATCCAAACATAGGTCTGAGGGACTGAAAAGTCAGAAAGGTTGAGTTGACATTTCATCTACTCTACAGAGAATATAAAATGTCTGGAAGAATGTTAATAAAAATAACAATCTTTGTTATCTCTAGGTAGTAAATCTCAGGGGACTTTTTCTTTTACTTTCCTTTTTGTCTTTTTATGAACTACTTGAATTTCTTACAATGAGAAAGAATGTATTGTTTTCTAAAGCAAATTGAGCTCTAGAGGAAAACGCCACAACAAGCAAGCATATAAAAACCCCAATGACTCTATAACTTGAGTTTTGAGACCCTCAAAGTAGTGCTGCCATGTTCAAGGGGAGAAGAGGCCACTAAAGACAGGAGGGAAAACAGAGTGGAGCAGAGGGAGGCGTTTCAAGACAGACTCACAGAGGCCACGTGGCATGTCTTCTGCCTACCACATTTCTCATAAAGCCCAATTCACCTAGATGTTAACATTTTTTATTTTTAATTGAGTAGGTGTTTACATCTTTTGACCCAGAAACCCTCTCTATGAATTTTCCCTAAGAAAAAGCTATGTGCAAGAACTCATCCATGGCAGCATCACCTACAATGGAGAAAAAAGCTGGAAACAACCTAAAAGTCCAAACTCTAGACCTACCAATAAATTATAAAGACCAGATAAAAACATGGGTAATGATTATTATGTGGGAAATAGAAAAATAAAGGATAAACCATCACAATGGTTCTTTATTTTTAAATGACCTTTGTGTTATTTATTAGAAGGAATAAGGATCAAACACGTGATGCCGTAAGTCAGATCTAAAAGTCTCCTAGCTAGAAAAGGGAAGCAGGAAGCTCAAACACCCTAACCAGGGAACAATGACATGAAGATGTAATTGAACACGGCAAGTAGTCCTTTCACAGGAAATCAGTGTGGGTGGTATGATGAACCCAGAGGTTGCAACTATATTGAAGATGTAAAAAAGTACATATTTAATGCCTACCAATTTACTAGGACACATTCTGTAAGTACAATGCAGAAAGCTTTTACAGATGAAAGCCCACACTTGCAAATATAGTGAAGAAATTTATGCTGAGGTAGTTAGATATGCAAAAAAACAACTGGCCACTACAATTGGAATAAGGTATTTACATCATCCCACAGTGAGGTACACTCCTTACACTTTGCTGGGGCTACTCTCAAAAGGCAGAGGGCACAGTAGCACCTGCTTAAACAATACCCACAAAATTGTGGATAATTATTTTACAGACTGTAAACTGAGATGCTTTTATAATCTTTTATTGCTGGAAGAATACAGACTAAGACAAGACAGGTATGCATAAAGAACAAGGGCTAAATATTTCAGATTAGAAGAGGCTTACAGCTTGTGCGAGGTAGAGAAAGAAGACAAATGCGGCCTTAGAAGATAATAAAAACACAAAATCGTCTGTGACTATCAGTGGCTTCTTTTTTTAACATTATTCTGACTTCTGAGTGGAACATGTTTTAAATTACCATGTACCTAATCTTTCGACTGAAGACAGACATAGTAAATGTCAGTGACTAAATACAATGGATAAATGATAGTTTTTTTTCTACTTTTAAAGGCTTTAAAATATGGTTTTTCTCAAAATCCTTTCTTTTCTTTATAGTCTGTTAACTACTTTCTTTTCACTGGAAATTGAGGACTGCAGCAGAAAATCATGAGTGTGACAAGAAAAGGATGAAACAGATTTCTGGTGGGGCTGGAGGAAATGACTATCAGGTGTTCACAGCCAGTCATGCCCTGAAAGAGCCTGGGAAGGACCAGAGGGGAATCGATTCCTCACAACTCTGGAGGACAGAAGGGTTCACACAAGATGGGCAACCCAGTGCCTAACTACAGTTTCCTGATAGCGAGGCTCTAACCCCAAGCACAGTGGATATTTCAGCAGAAAATTTCCATTACAGTATTGAAAAATACCAAAGGGCCCCTAAAACATCCTATAACCTATAAAAAGAACTATCTGTAATTATGAGCATAACATCAGCCTCGATCCTGAATTTACATGGGCTATAAAAATAGAAGTCCTAGTATTGCTGACATTGGGCCTTTCCGACTTCTATTTAACCCAAAACATTTATATACTTTAAGACATTTTTGTTGTGTTTTTACCTTAGAGAATACAAAGGTGTTGCTGGCTGTTGCTAAGTCTGTGTGGTGTTACTTCCTGTATTAGGAAATTGACTGTATTTTAATAAAATGAGACCCATTTCTGTGAAGTATTCTGAAGTAGTCTTTGGAGACTGGTTTACTACATCTCATATTTCCTAGCAGTATACTTGAGCTTAAATGAATTATTCAGGTTCAGCTATGGATTCCAAATGCACGAAGCCCCAAAAATTTGGCTTCTAGTCTCATGCTATTACTGCAACCTCAGCTGCCCAACACATGCTTCTGCCAGACATTATGAGTAAAGCAATCAACCTTGAAAATCATAGGTAGCTGAGCCCAGGTTTTTAAAAAATCAATTTTAAATACATTCCACAATGCTTTATAGAAGCAAACGAAAACAAACAAAAAACAAACAAAACCAAAAAAAAATCACAATGATTAAATAGCTGATTTTTGTTTAAAACACCAAGCAAGGAATGGACATATGAATATTCCTAACCTGCAAAATGATTCCTCCACATTATATCAGCGAAACTCATTGGTGGGCCACTGGGAGGGTAGTGTTTACCTTTCAGAGGCTCATGATCAGTCCTTATCATATCCATTAAGGAGTTCTCCAACGAGTGCAAGTTAAAAGTGTCATAGGGCCTACTCCGGTCCTAAAAACAAAAACACAGAACAAGATAACACATAAAATTACTTCATAAAATCAATACCGTATCATTTCCTTCTTGCCATGTATCGATGACATCAATTACAATTCCAAATAATTCTAATAACACACAGTCATTCTTTTCATTAAGAATAATGAGTTTTTTAAAAAAGAATAATGAGTTATTTCAGAATGACACTAAACTTACATGAATGCTGTAATTTTAAAAAAATGACTTGGCAACATTAAGTTTAATACAAGTTTCCATTATTACTTAAGTTGCATCTTTTCCCTAATATTCCTTCATGTATATGTCCCACTACTTCAGACTGACTTTCCCTCAAGTGAACTAAAAAACTAAATTTAAAAGGTAGAGTCAAGTGAATTGGATTTGTGCTCCGTCCCCCGTCAAATGAAGATTCTTTTCAAATGAATGCAGATTTTTTTCCTCTGGAGGAAGACTATATTTAGGAACTATTAGTCTACAAACAGACATACTTTCCTGAAAAACCAAAAGGTTGACTAGTTTCAATGTAATTCAACTGGGTATTTAACATTTATTACTGATAATAAGGTCCATACATTAAGTATACATTTTAATAATTACAGTATGTTCAAATACTAAAATTATCTTTTGAAAAGCATTCACATGAGAAAACTTTAACCCAATGTAGTGTTTTCATGAGGTTAGAGTCAAAAAGACTTTGCAACCAGAAAGCTAATGCAAACTAAGAAAAAATAATTGTTCTGCCACATTTCATGCAAGCCCATAGGAGACAATCACTGGCACCTTATTTTTAGTAGTCTGAGCCTAAAAGGAAGTGCAGCTCATGGCCTAACTGATTACTATAGGGCAGATTTAGTTTGCTTTTGTTTAAGAATAATAAGACAAACATACACCTGAACAACCACACAAATCAAACTACAGCAATGAGAGACTATTTGCAGGATCTTGAACAGTTTATCCAGCCTTGCAAATGATCACTTATCTTCTCCTATATGAACAACAGAATACAAAATGACTCCCTAAGTGAACAAAAAAGAATACAATAGCTAAAAACCTCAGCTACAATGACCATTTTCTAGGTTAAGCCTTAAACCCTTGGACAGCTGTTTTCTTCCGGTTTCTGGAAAGTATAGCTGTATACCTGTCCAGGGAGGCAGAAAGGCAGGTGACATTTCCTCAGCAATGAGCATTAAAAAAAAAAAAAGAAGAAAGAAAGAAAAGAAAGAAAAGAAAGAAAAGAAAGAAAAGAAAGAAAGAAAGAAAGAAAGAAAGAAAGAAAGAAAGAAAGAAAAAGAGAAAAGGAAAGAAAGCAAGCTAGCTTGCCCATAGGATTACTGAATAAATGAATGCAGTACATATGCATGCAGGTCCAAGAAAAGCCCTGAACTAAGAACACGGAGGTAAGAGTGCCGAAGCTACTATAATCAAGTGGGGGCTTTTGGTTACATCATGATCCATCTCTCCAGTCTGCACCTGAAATTCCTCCCTTTATACAAAGGAGAGGATTGAGCTAGGTTATTTCTAATATCCCTGACAACCCCATGCTTTCTTTTTTTAACTTATAGATGAGGAGTAGGGGTGAAGGGCCCAGATTTTGCAAACCTTTAATGCAAGAGTCGAGGGCCACTCCCCTACTAGGTCCCAGCAGTTCAGAAATAAATGCTGTAGCCTAGTCCCTGTTTGTAAGTAACTAGGAGAGATGGACATAACCAATTATAATAAGAGTATGACCCCTGTTTTGACCAAGGAATATATGCAGTACAGTGGAAATGAAGTAACATCTATTTCTTTAAGAACATATATCTGGGTATGTGTTTATTATAATTTTTTTTAAAAATTCACAATATAAAGTTCTAGGTGTCTTAATATGGACCTGCCATGTGACCAAGTATAAGACTTGTCTCAGTTACTCTCAATGGCCTCCGTATTCTCATTAGTAAAAATGTGATCTTAACCTGTGAGAATTAGGTTGAAATTACTTTTTATTTTACTCATATTTTGTTTGCCAAAGGGCAAGTATTCAACATTTCGTAGGATGCTGACACCCCCACCCCATTTTTTTCTTTTTAGCATGCATCAGTTATCTGTCTTTACTGTTGGATGAGAAAGAGACTCAGGATATTTTCTTTGGTTCTCCATTTTGCACTCTACATAATTTAAGAAGGTCCCTTCCTTTACTTTTAAAGTCTTCCTGGAGATCATTTGTTTTGCTCTGGGTTCAAGTTATCAGTGGAAACTCTAATTACTTAAGGCACAGATGGCAAACACAAGGCCCTCAGGCCAAATCCAGCGCTCTACCTTGTTTTATCCAGCCCAGCACCTTGTTTCTACCCAGCAGCAGTGCCAAGCTCTCGCTTAACTGTTAAGAACTTGTTACATTTATACAGTCCTAAAATTACATTCGGCCCTTTGAAGGCAACTGCGAGGCTGAAGTGGGCCCTGGTGAAAAGGAGTTTGACACCCCTTACTTAAGGAGTAAAGCTGAATTTCCAGAAATGCTGGCTTATCTTTCCCCATAAGAGGTACTGTATTCTTCGCCCAAAGAAAAAGCCAAAGGTAAAAAGTATGCTGATGAAAAGGCAAAACGACAATCTATTTATGACACTGACAATCCCATGATAAATACCGAGGACCTTCTATCATACGTGTCCACACTTCCAATGCTGCAGATGTGCGACTGTTTTAAGGGAGGCTAGTGGGTGAAGGGACTATAGGAAATGGCTGTCTGAAGGCATATGAGATCTTTCCAGTCAGGACAGTTTCTTTTTTTCATTTAATTCTTCATATAATCTTCAAAGTAGACAACAATATACTCATTTTACACTGAGGGAGATGAGGCTCAGAGATGACTCAAATCTGGATCTGACCTCAAAACTAATACCTAAGGAGTACAAAAATCTGTCCAAAGAAGTTATTCCAATCTATATGGAATATCCAATGAAGGCTCTATAGGAGCACTGCACTGCATTTAATCACTGATGAAATGATCTTTCTGGGAAGGTGGTAGTGAATTCCTGTCAGACAAAAATGTCAGGTATTAGATGACTACCTGTCAGGAAAATTAGAGGGCATGTTTGGAGGGGGTTCATGTACCTGAAGTGGTTCCCAAATCTATCTGAGATTATCAAAATCACATGTAAAACAGTTTAAATGTAGGTTCCTAGTCCCCAGCTAAAACCCATTCAATCAAAATTTTTAAAAAATAAATGTCCCAGGTGACTGGCCTTATTAGAGAGCCACTAGACTGAATGATTCTTCAAGTTACAGTGTTACACTCATAAATCTGATCCATAAAATGAGGCAGTAAAATGAGGGAAGGGACTAGGAGGACAGCACCAGAAAATAAGCCTGGCCCCTTTGCCAAAGCAGCCCTGCAGTCTTCCAAATGGATTGTGGCAATGGGTGGGCTGGTTTTTTAAAGCACCAACTTTGAAATCAGACATCTGATTTTCAAATTTTGGCTCTGCCACACGCTGGCATGTCACTCTGGAAAATTTTATGCCTTGATTATCTTTCTCTATAAAATAGGGGTGATAATAATTCTCTCTTTATGGTTGTTTTCAGTACTAAATGACAGGATGTACAACAAAGCATTTGTATCATGGTAGCTACTGAAACACTAGGGATAATACAGAGATTTCTGTGATGCCATGTCAGAGTACTGGGGCACAGATTAAAAACCCAGAGGTTCACGGGTGCTAACCTAACAAGGTTCACTAGTGCTCCACGGATGAAAACATATGACATGTGAAATGAATGACAGAATTTGCAGAGGCTTCTTAACTGAACAAACTTTGGTGCTGAGACTTATTTCTCACTGAAGTTAATTCTATCTATGCCTCATCAGTTTACATTTGCTGCATCCTTTTTATTTTACTAGTACTAAACACTGCTGAAATAACTGATTAACCAGGAAGCCTGTAAGAAACAGAAAAAGGATAGAAAAACTAAAAAATTTGCAGTGAAATTCACATAAATTATGCCAAGAACTAACCACAATTTACCATTCAGAAACAAAAGTTACAAATGACAACTAACCTTTTTAGTCTTTTTTCATATTTTGTTTCTGATATAGGGAAAATAAGGAAAATATTGTTTTCATTTGTTTTTAACAAGCAAACACTGCAGGAAGTATTAGAATATTTATAAATAATGCATCCCATTATTGACTCTTTTTTCTCTGAATATAACCAGTGACAGATGTTACTAGTTTCTTGTACGCATACGCAGTCCGCCCCCACTGTACAGCTCATTAGCTCTGCTTTCTTTCTTTCCCCAGCTTGACTTAATATATTAATAAACTATCCAAGTATTTAATATGTGTCTGGCGCTGTTCTAAGTATGTTCAATGCATTCATTCCCTCACAACTCTATGAAGTAGGTAACTTTTATCCCCGTTTTAGAAATTACACTATTAAATCTTGAAGAGATTAAGTGGACTGTCCCAAGGTTACAGGGCTAGTAAGCAGCTGAGCCAGGGCTCAAACCCAGTCAAATCTAGACTGTGCTCTAAATGACATTCATTGTACTGTTTCCCTCACTTCTTCCTACTCTTCCTTAAATCCATTCATAAACATCCCCTTCAATCTAATAGTGACATAGTCAGAGAGAGGACTCTCTGACCCCAACCCTGCCACTCTTACTTGCCCTTGGTCAATAACCCTTCTTGAACTGACAACTAGTTAAACTCAAACAGTAGCCTAATCTATATCCTCCAGCACGTGCCTGTACCTGCCTCTACCACCAGCTTTATCCCATGTACCTGCCTTTTCCTTGGGAGAGAAATTCAGGACCCTTTCTCCCCTTTCTGGATTACTTCCAGACATTTCCTCTCCTATAGAGAGATACAAGAGGCCAGGAGCATCTGAGAAAAAAGCAGCTCTGGAACCAAAAAATAAAAGTTAATCATGGTGCCAACTGTATGCCAAGCATTGGGTTAAATGTTTTATAGACATAATCTCAATTCTTATCACAACCCTGCAGGGTAGGCATTATCTCCA